CTCTCTTACCGTGCGGATCTATTTGCTTTTTGCTTAAGGAAGTGTTACTACTACCTAAAGCTACAACAAATTTAAACAGCACTTTTCAGTGCCTAACCTGTAAAACTTTTCTACCTTTTTCAACTCTTATTCCTCTTCGATCCTTGTTTGGACCCTACCCGAGGTAATCCTTCTTGGATATCGATTTGGAAAATTCCTCTTCGATCCTTCAGATTCTTATAGTAATCTGCTTGGAAGTCGATTTGGATAAAAATTTACTGCCGACATGGCGCCTAAACGCAAAAGAAAGGGGCAAACTCTTGACCCCCCTTCTGATGAAATTAATTTAAGTAATCAATTTGATTTGCTCACAGATGATGGGAATGATCCATCATCCAAGAAAAATTCTTTTAAACTTTCCCGGCTTAATGCCAAGAAGGAAAAGATTCCCCCTATTGTGATAACCACTTCCGATTTCCATGCTTTTCGCATGGAGCTTTTGAATTTCGTGAAAGTTAAGTTTTCACTGCAAATTGGACGTCGGGGTGAATGCCGTGTATTGGCTGAAACCTTGGACGGATTTAATTGTCTTCTCAAGTATCTTACTGAGAAGAAGCACACATTTTTTACTTACGACACCAAAACTGAACGTGTGTTCAAGGTTGTCATGAAAGGACTGCCCAGTGGTGAATCCCTAGATCAGATCAAAGATGAACTGGCAAAATTACTTGAAGTTGTGCCACTCCAAGTAATCAAAATGAAAATGAAACCCCGTCCTGGCGATTCGCGCAACGGGATTTCTAATGATTTTTATTTAGTTCACTTCAAGTCTAGTGAACTTAACAACCTAAAGGCCTTAGAAAAGCTAGCCTTATGCTCCATGTCCGAGTGAAGTGGGAACACTTCAGGAAGACTGGAGGAAATTTCCAAAACCTCACCCAGTGCCGTAAGTGCCAGGGATGGGGTCACGGAACTAAAAATTGCTACATGCCAGCTAAATGCATGAATTGTGGTGATTCCTCTCACGCAAAGGACGACTGTCTTGTGAAGAAAGATCATAAGAAATTTAAATGTTCAAATTGTGGTGAAAACCACAAATCCAATTTTTGGAAATGTAAGACTCGCAAAGCGATCCTACAATCTCGTTCTAAGCGACAGGTACAAATTTCTCTGCTGTTAACAACGGTCAGCGAGGAGCAAATTCTACATTCGTACCCGTAGGTACAAATATCACCCCTGATTCAAATGTTTCATCTGTACCTACTCCCCTCGCTGCTAACAATGTTCAGCGAGTTAATGGAGCTACTTATGCTGCTATTGCAACGGGTAGAAATCAAAATACTAACCAACGTTCTAACGGAAATTTTGACAATTTTGCCTTAGGAAGCATTACTGTCCCTAAAATGGAATTTTTAAAGAATTCATTAATTGACATGATTTCTGATATGCTTAAATCTAACTCCATGTTTTTGCTATTCAAACTGGAGTAAAATTTGCTAATAATATTGTCATGACTTTAAAATTCAGTAATGGATTTTAAAGCTTTAAATATTTTAAATTGGAATGCTCAATCTCTTAAAGATAATGAAGACGAGCTATTTAACTTTTTGAGAGTTCATAACGTGCATATTGCCGTTATAACTGAAACGTTCCTTAAACCTGAACATAAGGTTAAGAAGGACTCAAATTATTTAATTTATAGAAATGATCGTCTTGATGGACCCATTGCCATCATTGTTCATATACGAATCAAACATAAAATTCTTTCTTCATTTGAAACCAATGTTTTTGAAACTTTGGGTGTTTCTGTTGAAACAAAATTTGAACAACTTACGTTTAAAGCTGCCTATTTGCCATTCCAATGCGTAGGCCAGCAAAAGAATTTTCTCAAAGGTGACCTCCAGAAGCTTACCCGTCAGAGGTCTAAATTCTTCATTATTGGTGATTTTAATGCAAAACACCGCTCATGGAATAGTGCTTAAAGCAATTCCAATGGTAATATTCTGTGTGATGATTGTTCTGCAGGTTATTACACTATTCAATATCCAAACAGTCCAACATGCTTTTCTTCTGCAAGAAATCCCTCCGCTATTGATTTGGTCTTAATTGATTCATGTCAACTTTGTAGTCAATTTGTTACCCATGCTGACTTCGGTTCTGATCACCTTCCAGTAATATTTGAAATATCCCAAGAAATAAGTTCTAATCCCAGCAGCTCTACTTTAAATTACCATAGAGCTGATTTGGAGCAATATCGAACATTTATGGAATATAACTTCGATCCAAACATTCCTTTGCAAACCAAAGATGAAATTAATTATGCTCTTGAATCTCTGACTACTTCTATAGTTGAAGCAAGAGCTGCCTCAGTACCAAAATGCGAGGTTAAATTCGATTCAATTATAATAGACGACGATCTTCAGCTCTTGATCCGTCTTAAAAATGTCCGTAGAAGACAATATCAAAGAACACGCGATCCTGCCATGAAAGTTATCTGGCGGGATTTACAAAAAACAAATTAAAAAACGATTCTCTGCCCTGAGGAACAAAAATTTTGAAAATAATGTTTCTAAATTAGACCCGAGTTCCAAACCCTTTTGGAAACTCACAAAAATTTTGAAAAAACCTCAAAAGCCAATTCCAGCGCTTAAAGACGGTGTTAAATTTTGATCACAAATTTGGAAAAAGCTCAGAAACTTGCTAAGCAATTCGAGAGTTCCCATAATTTCACTTTGGGTCTTAATAGTCCTATTGAGAATCAGGTAGCTCGGGATTATCTGAATATTTTCTCTCGGGATTTGGACGAAGTAAGGTCTATAACTAAAAAGTTTCAAAATATGAAAGCTCCAAGTGATGATGGAATATTCTATATCCTCATCAAAAAACACCCAGAGAGTACCTTGTCTTTCTTGGTAAAATTATTTAACATAGAGTTTCCATCTGGTATACTTTCCTGATAAATGGAAAAATGCAAAAGTTGTTCCAATTTTGAAGCCGGATAAAAATCCAGCTGAAGCTTCTAGCTACCGTCCAATAAGTTTGCTTTCTTTAATAAGTAAACTTTTTGAAAAGATAATTTTAAATAGAATGATGCTTCACATCAATACGAACTCAATTTTTGCAGATGAGCAGTTTGGATTTCGCCATGGGCATTCAACTACTCATCAACTCTTAAGAGTTACCAATTTAATTCGTTCAAACAAATCGGAAGGCCACTCAACTGGAGTTGCTCTTCTAGACATAGAAAAAGCATTCGACAGTGTTTGGCATGAAGGTTTGATTGCTAAATTGAAAAAGTTTAATTTTCCACTTTACATTATGAAATTAGTTCAAAATTTTTTAACTGACAGAACTCTGCAGGTAAATTATCAAAATTCCAAATCTAATCGACTACCTGTTAGTGCAGGAGTTCCTCAGGGTAGCATTCTTGGGCCTATATTGTATAAAATTTTCACTTCGGACCTCCCTGATTTGCCTCAGGGTTGCCACCAATCTTTGTTCGCTGATGACACAGGCATTTCCGCTAAAGGGAAAAGTCTTCGTGTTATTTGCAGCAGACTGCAGAAAAGTTTAGATATTTTCTCTTCTTATTTACAAAAATGGCAGATTTCTCCCAACGCTTCCAAAACTCAACTTATAATATTTCCACACAAGCCTAGAGCTTCGTTTTTGAAACCTAGTAGTAGTCACATAGTCACTATGAACGGAGTTCCAATTTCCTGGTCAAACCAAGTGAAATATCTTGGATTAATACTTGACCAAAAATTAACTTTTAAAGATCACACTGAGGGCATTCAAGCTAAATGTAAGATATATATAAAATGTTTGTATCCTCTTAAAAACAGGAAATCCAAACTTTGCCTGACGAATAAACTTCTAATATTTAAACAAGTTTTTAGACCGGCCATGCTTTACGCTGTGCCAATATGGTCTAGTTGTTGCACTACCAGGAAAAAAGCACTTCAAAGGATTCAGAACAAAGTTCTGAAAATGATTTTGAAGTTGCCTCCCTGGTACAGTACTACCGATGTATATAGAATTTCGAATGTTGGGGCTTTAGAACAAATGTCCAACAAAATAATTAATAATTTCAGGCAAAAATCGTTGCAATCCTCAACTGCAACGATTAATTCCCTTTATACTTAGATAAGATTTAGTTTTAGTTTGTAGTTTTAAGACATCAATTGTTATACTGACATGCAGGTTTAAAAACCTGTTTAAAATACTGAATTGCCTAGACAGGAACAATGTAAAAATACTTAGATATATTTCATAACAATTAAGGCTGGTAAGTTGCTTTAGGAACTGGAGCACCTAGGTTAAAATGAAATGTAATTTATTTTGAATTTGAAACAAATAAAGAGTTAAAAAAAGGAAAGAAGCTCTCCCGTACTATGCTTAATGTTTTCAAATAGTTACTTAGGGGCACACAATATGTCACGTCGCTATAAAAAAAAATCCTGTCGCGTGACAAACCTTTCCTATTCCTCATCCTCAACAAATGTAGTAATCCAAACTTCAAGAGCGTTAGAGAGCGAGAGCATCAAAGCATTCCTAAACGCACATGGCAGCTTTCCGCCTAACACCCTCGCATCGAAACGAAAACGCACGTGGAATCGACTCTCTGTTTTGTTTTGCTTTCTACACATCTGCCGCCGTCAAATTCTAGTCGCAACATCACATCCCTCCGAAGTTACGCTCTCAGAGTTATATTGTCCTCTCTCTCCAAGCAACCCGAACAAAAACTGGACTCTTTTCCCGGCATGGGTGCAAAAACAGAGAGTTTTTCTCGATTTCCACTTTTACAAGGATTCTTTCCGCGCCGCGTCGGTCGGGAGAGAGCATGCGATAATTGCGTTGGTTGATGATGATGATGGTGATGATGCAACATGCTTCTTCCGGTTTTTATGCTCGCGCCGAGTTTTTCCCGAACATACTCACTTCGTAGCAGCAGTTTTTCGCACTCGGGGATCCTTTTTACTTTTGATGTAGGACGTTTTTCTACTCAGTAGCAGTTTGGACTTTTCTCGGCTTACAGCTCCTCGGTTTGGCTTCCGGAGCCCGGTTTGGAATCTATTGTCTTGTGGATGTGCTTGTGCTGTGGCAGTTTAGTGGATTTGTAGACCTGCCTGTCCGTCAGCCTTTGTTAGAGTCGCAGTGGTCAGTGCTCTGGAATTTGATACCGGCGTCATTTTTTTTTTCGTTTGTTTGTTGGCTTGAGATCAACTGACATTTGGAGGATTACACTTTGAGGTGTGCTTCTGTGTCTGGGTTTCGTGTGGATCGTTGCCGTACGTAAAAAAAAGTGTCAAACAATTTGGGATATTAAACATCAGCCGAAAAACGAGTATCTTTGTCGGTGCCCGAGCGATGAATGACGTCTGAAAAAAAAGAAACGTGGAATTTAAATTTGGCGAAATATATAAAGCGTTAATCCGCTGCCCGTCCCGGATGAGTTGGTGATTTTTGGCCTTGCCAGTTAGTGATGTGAGTTGACAACGACGCTTCCGTTGTAGTGGCTGGGAAATTTTACTCTGTAATTGAAAAGTCCGATGTGCGACGGTGCTCCGATATGTGGTGAATGAAGGAGAGAATTTAAATTAAAAAAGGATTAAAGGATTAAAACAGTGCATTGGTGCGGAAAATTCGGTGTATGTGCACACAAACCGAATCGTGATATATACTGGAAGCGTGTTTTGGTTGGCGCGAAAGAGCTAAAAGCGCCGGCGGGAGAAGCAGCAAAGTGTAAGTGTGTTGGAAGGATGGAAGGGAGGACGGCGGTAACAGATAATAATTCAGAGCGTAAAAAATTGCAGCACAAAATAATGATGTGAGCTTATTCGGCACACAAAGCCTGGGTACCGATAGCGAGATATGTGGAAAAAAGGCATGAATTCCGTGCATTTCGAAAGTGAAAAATCGGTCACAATAGACCGGTGAATAAGCTACGCGCGAGCGAGCGATCGAGGTGGAATGAACTGCATTGTAGGTATTTATCGGGGGAGGGGGAATGGTGGTTGGATGATGTTTGAATAAATGCTTTCTGAGAGGAAATTCATGATCAAACTGAATTCTGATGAGCATTGCACAAGTTTACCATCAGCCTAGGAAGCTCAAGCATGTTCTGATTAGAGAAGTCAGTATTTTGGCAGCTGTTTTTAAATGTGATGGAATGATCACTAATGTATGTTGTATTAAATGGGTGTTGATAAACTACATGCTCAGATTTGGGTGATTCTACAACACTTCATTGTACAGCTTGATCCATCTGATAACCTAAAAGTGTACTCAGTAAATTTCTGTTACTATGATGTGCATAAATATATACACGTTTTCATTGTGGATCGTGTAAATGTATGAGTAATTTCATGAAATATTCCAAATATTGTATGCAATCGTCCATCTTTGCAAGCAACATTTCTTACAAGATACTAGTTTACGTGAAATGGAAGCTTACATGCATGAATCACCAATAGAATTCAGAGTTTTTTTTTCTGTGCACGGAAAACGTTGCGAATTTCTGTTTAATATCATGATCCAGTCCAACAACATGCAACTTTGTCAACAAAACAAACCATTTCAATGTTGCGAAAATGAATGCCTTAAATGAATATGCGGAGAAGAGCCTACCCTCTGTTCACGAATTGTTAGCAATACGGAGTAAAGATTCCCTCTCTCATAATATAAAACGCTTGATTACTTTGACGGTTTCCTTTGGGAGGATGATATGCCAGATTGTAGCACATAGATTATCAACAGTTTGAAGCTGATTCACGAGATTTATAGATGAAAAAATGCTTGTTTTAATGGTAACGTGAGTGTTTTTTTTTGCATGACCGGACATGAAGTTCCAGACAGGGATTCAGAAATCTCAACTTGTACTGCAGACGTGACCGATTTAGATTCAGAATCTTCCTGAAGAAGATTCCAACGGGGATTCTAGAATTTACTGATGAAGATTCTTGAAGATCGTAACAATAATTGTAGACGTTTTCAACATGGATTCAAGACGTTCTGAACGTAGATTCCATTCGTTCCTGAAGATGATTCCTGTCATTCATGATGGAGGCTTCAGATATTCACGCAAAAGATTTCAGAATCATTGGAATCATTCCATTGAATTCTACTCTTAACAATCTAAGAACGATTCTCATGATTCATTCCGAACTTCCTTTTGGATTTCGTTGAAATGATCAACGGGGTTACCTTAGAATATTATTTGGAAGTTTTCAAATTGTCCGTAGCATTTTCTTATAATTCCCGCATTGCCACCATTGCTGTGGAACTATTCTCATCATTCTGTTTGCTTGGATTTTTTTACAGAATTCCTACGAAGCTATCCCCAGAATTCCTTTGGAACTATACTCATTGAGTTATCTGCGAAAGTCCCTTTGAAATTCGGTGGAGGATATCCATTCTAGTCAGAAATGCCTAGCAATTATTTTTATAATTCACTTGGAGTTCTATTCGCAATTTCCTTAGAATTCTCCATAAAAAATCTTAGAAATCAAATTAGAACTGCTATACACTTCTTCACAAAATTCACCTGGAGTCATCCTCAAAATTACCTTGGAAGTCTCGTTGGCATATTCAGAATCTGCTGGTATTTTTGTTTGGAATGTTTGGAATGAACTTTAAGGCAGAGACGTAGGGAGGGTTTGCTACGCCCCTCGCAAACCATGAAAATGACGCTCCTTTCTAATTGATTAAATCCAGCTTCAGGTTTTAAAATAGATGGGAGGCAAATTATTATTCAATTGATTCACAATTTCACGTTAGAGACTGGGATTTAACATTTTATTATTTTCTTACTTTGATTCCTCGACTTCTAGGTCATCAGGTAGGGGAATCTACTCTCCCTACTAGCTGGTGTTGTTAGATTATGTGAGTGAGCTAGCAGTTGCCACAAATCGTCGATTGAACTGATTGATTTCGAAATCAAATACGTCAATTTGACGTCACGTCAGGAGTTCCCCAGGGTTACGCTTGATTGTTTGTAGACTCCGACTGAGCTGCTCGACTTCAACAGAAAAAGAAAGCTAGCAGTCTCTTCGTCGCATCGATTTTGTCGATTGAAGCTGATATTGTGACGCCCTGATATTTTTCTTGATTTGTTTTCCGTCGATTTTGTTTTCCGTACTCATTACCAATGCTACTGACCCCAGAGAGGCAGCTCCCACACCTGTGGACCCTACATATCGACCCATCAATTATGGAGCGGGGACCAACGGCCTTACTTCCCTGTTGTGCCGCCCTGGTTCAGACATTGTAAAATGGTACATCTTGACCGCAGTTTGATTTTAATCGATAATTAGAACTCTAATTGACATCCCTACGCAAGAAACCAAATTTATATTATTGAAATTAAGTTCAACGAGCTTCACTATGCACAAAAATCAGATTTTGCATCAATGTGATGTTCGTAAAACTATGATTAATAATGGTTCAAACGACCCGGAGGCAACTTGACAAGTTCAGTACATTTCCTGTGTACCCCGAAAATTTGGTGCAGGTGGTTCTGTCAAACTCACAAATTTCAGAAGTGTTATCTGAATAGGGCGAATGCGGAAAAGATGCATAGTAAATAAAATGTTATTTTAAAGTTAATCTTACTGCATATAAAGGGTTATACGGTCAAAATTTGGTCAATATCAACTTGACGTATTTCTTTCAATTTTGCATTTAAAAAACCTGAACACCCCTCATTTTGAAGGTGTGTGTGTGTAGAATGTTGCTCCTATTTTGATTTTGGAATTCACTCTTCAGTTGTCAAAATGCCGTCCAAGCAAGAAGAGCAGCGTATCAAAATTTTGCTCGCGCATCGCGAAAATGCGAGCTACTCGCACGCAAAGTTGGCAAAATCGCTAAAAGTTGCCAAATCAACCGTTACAAATGTAATTAAAGTGTTTGGGGAACGTTTATCGACAGCCAGGAAGTCTGGATCGGGGGGAAATCGAAAACCGGAAGCCGCTGAGACGACAAAGAGAGTTGCCGGTAGTTTCAAGCGAAACCCTAACCTCTCTCTCCGAGATGCCGCAAATAAGCTGGGTGTATCGTCTACAACCGTGCATCGAGCCAAAAAACGAGCCGGACTATCGACTTACAAGAAGGTAGTGTCTCCAAATCGTGATGATAAACAAAATACGACGGCCAAAGCGCGATCCCGGAGGCTGTACACGACGATGCTGACGAAGTTTGACTGCGTGGTAATGGACGACGAAACCTACGTCAAAGCCGACTACAAGCAGCTTCCGGGACAGGAGTTTTATACGGCAAAAGGAAGGGGAAAGGTAGCAGATGTTTTCAAGCACATGAAACTGTCAAAGTTCGCAAAGAAATATCTGGTTTGGCAAGCCATCTGTACCTGTGGCTTGAAAAGCAGCATTTTCATAGCTTCCGGGACTGTCAACCAAGAAATTTACGTGCAAGAGTGTTTGAATAAACGTCTGCTGCCTTTCCTGAAGAAACACGGTTGTTCCGTACTGTTTTGGCCGGATTTGGCATCTTTCCATTACGGTAAAAAGGCCATGGAGTGGTACGCCGCCAACAACGTGCAGGTGGTTCCCAAGGACAAGAACCCTCCCAACACGCCAGAGCTCCGCCCAATTGAGAAATACTGGGCTATTGTCAAGCGGAACCTAAAGAAGACCAAAAAAACTGCTAAGGGCGAGCAGCAGTTCAAGGCAAACTGGCTTTCTGCGGCGAAGAAGGTGGACAAGGTGGCTGTACAAAATCTGATGGCAGGGGTCAAGCGTAAGGCCCGGCAATTCGGATTTGGAAAAGCGGAAACCTAACTGAATATTTTTCCTGAATTTTATACTAATTGAACTTGAAAAAGAAATTTAATTTGATTTTTTAAATAAACGATTTCACCGATTTACACGCGTTTTCCCTTGACCTAATTTTGACCGTATCACCCTTTACATAATCTGTTTAAGAATCTCTTTTTGTGTAGGCACGTATTCTTTGAGCAGAACAAAACCAAAAGCTTAAACATATGATTTGTAAAACGAAAATATGTGATTGCCATCGAATGAATCGAAACAAATGAGAATTGAGCGAGGATATTTTCGATCTTTTTGACGCTTCTGCTATTGTCGTTCTTATGAACAAAGAAAGAATGGTTTTGCAGCCAGTAAGAACGTACTAACTCAAACAAAGTGACAGACGACTTAGTTGCGAAAAAATCAATTAAAATAATGTGGTTCGCTGTAATAGAATTTTCTTAGAAGCTGGTGCCATCAGCCACCAGATGGGCTTGTATTTTTGTTTTGATTTGAACAAAGTTGATTTTGTGTGCAATGATCTTTGACAGTGTGCAAAGAGTAAATCATTTTGTAATTTTTTTATGCATTTCAGTTTTGAGTAGAGTGAAAGAAATAGAACGAAAACATTCTAGTACATTTGATGAAAATGCTAGTACAATAGTAGTGTTGCAATGTGGTACACTGAAAAATTGCAATAGCAGATTCGTCACCAAAGTTTTTGAGCCGCTCCGTCTGTCAATTCGTTTGTGGTACTAATTATATGCAGCTAGTACTGCAAAATATACAATTTGAGGTAATAACTGAAAAGAGTACAACGTTAGTACCGGTGGAAACTAACGATTTTAAATTGGCTCAATACTTGACTAGCCTGTTGGTTCCAAGTACATCAATAAGTGAACCCTATTCTAGTAGGAATTCTAGTACTACACTTTGTGTTTTACAGATAAAATGAGGGGTTCGTGGATTTTGCCTTGTTTC